CGAGCCACGAGAGAGAGCAAGATCCGTTGGACAGGCCACGTAGTGGATCTCGCGTAATGCCGAATGGTACCAGAGGGAAAGAAAACAACCACTCAGGCGACCTTCGAAGAGGTTGCGAACGTACGTAGAAGAAATAGCGGGAAGGAACTGGATACAAACTGCCAAAGACAAAATGGCCTGGCATAATTGTGCTCGGCGTGTGGAAACTTCGAAGAATCCGTATTGAAGCTCGAGTCTTGGAGTCTTGAAATCAATGGTTTAAATCCCTTGGAAATTTCCTCCTGGAAGACACACGTATGCTAATGTCACATTTTGTGTTTAATTTCCTCAGAATCACTCGACGTTGACTGCACTGACGAAACAGACTGAGGCAAGGTGCTACTCGATTGAGTACCACGCGGTCGATCCTGTCGTCATCTTAAGTACGACTGATGGGCCTGTAGCTTCCGTGGCGAAATTGCATGCAATAAGCAGCTGATAAATAACATAGAGAGAATAAACTGCCGGCATGTCAAACACAACTCTCTTTAGTAGATTTATCAAAAACGGCATATAACCACTGTTACACAGAGTTGACGTTTTTGTCGATCGACCAGAAAAAAAGTTTTGTTAAACAGGAAAGTTATAGCATAAAGCGAATCTATTCTCATAGTGATTAATAATATCATCACTGTCCATTCAGAAAGCAAACGGCATAGTGAAATAGATAATAAAGAGCGAATAAACATCAGGTTATTAATCAGAGAGTCGTTACACATGTTGTTTAACAAAATCCGAAGGCAAATGTATGAACTCATATAGTTTGAGTAAGAGCTGCAATGTGATCGGCCAACTTGTGTGGAAGAAGCAATGAATAAACGCTATTGCCACTAAAACACACCCCACAGTTCAGCGCTGTTCCGTTGAAAAAAGAAGCTGGTGTGCGACGTTGAACCGTGTCGGTGAGTAAAGGAAAATTCATCAAATTTTTGCAAATTGTTGACTTGAACCATGGATCGAAATCAGATGATCATTAACTGAAATCATTCTAACGCGTATTCACTTCGAACTAATATAGACGGTTAGACGGTATATGCTAATGGCCCAATCGATGAACAAAGTTTATGTTCAATTAACGCATCTTACACAATATATGTTACTCAGACCAAGACAGGAATACACGTCCTCACTGCTAAATTAATAACAGCAGCAATGAATCTAGTACTGAACAAAAAAAGAATCATACTAAAAAGCATTGTGAAACAGTTTGTTAACAAACTGCGCTATACACTTGATTTAACCGATAACAGAGAAATACTAACGTCTATTACGAGACAGACAACGTGCATTGTTTCTGCAAGAGCTGCTTTCTCAGTATAATTACACATGAAGAAATTATTTCATCATTTCATTCGGAAATAACAAACATCTGGCACCACGATTGCCAAAATGTTCAGCAAAACAATGAAACCAAAAATAAATCTGCTGACTGTAAATAAACCTGTAAGTAATACCGTCCTTGTGTTCAAAGCTGAAATCGACATCATAGTATACGACGACGAGTGGTTTTTTTGTGTAGCGGGTGTCTTTGTTGGAAATCGTGCGTTCTCCAACCTTGGGCAAGCAGTTGTTATTGATAAAATCCACTATATTTTCAGTGGACGGATTATCCTGACGAACGAAGGCGAATGAAAAATACACAGGAATAGGAAATGAGAACAATCATTGCGTACTTGTTCCAAGCGTAAATACATCGGTTCTGATTTTGACCAGTATCGGTCAGGAAACAGCAAAAAAACGCCATGACCGATTTTGTAGTGGTTCTTCACCTCTGCACTGGTGGCATAAAAAAAACGGGGAAACTTCTCTCGCAGGGCTTCCGCTATGAAAAACAACAAATTAGTAAGCAGGCCTATCTATTAATTAAGGCTGCAAAACCGACAAACAGTCCACAGAACTGCACCTAAAATCTCAGTAAAATTAGACCTACCTGCGTGAGTGAATTTCTCAAATTGCGGATCATTCGATGATTCACAGAGAGCAAGCACTGTCACATCGTCCTGAACTAGAAACTTCTTCAACTCCTTCAGTGAATGCAACTCCTTTGCAGCAGGCAAC